TCAAGAACTATTCCAATTTTATTTTTTCCAGTTCTGATGCATCGGAATGCTTCTTCAGCCAATCTCTTGAAGCTGGTTTGTTGTGCCAAACCTGATTAGGATAGCAGACATCTTATCCTGATTAGTTCAAGTTTATATCTTGTTCACAAACAGAACAGATAATTCAAACTACATATATACGACACATGCTCATAGAAAATATCGTGAATAATGTTTGCAGCCTTCATGATTCAACCCCAGTGCTTCATGATATGTATTATAAAGTTCTGCCTACTGCATAGTCAAGAAGGGTATCTCAGAATGCAAATATGAAACATAATACCTGAGTTTTTCGTACATTTAAAACAAAGAAATCAAAGTAACATATGTGAAAAGTTAATACCTTTGCTTAGAGGGAGAGAGGAGAATGTCTTTGGAGTTGCTTCTGCATGGACAAACTCCGGACCACAGTGTTCACATGGAACCTTCAACCAAAAAGAAACACTATTTTGTAAGATAAAAATTTTCTATACAAAACCTGTAGCTTACCAATGGATATGTGATACAAAGTTCTCATCTGCTCTTGTTAATATATATATCATGAAATATACTCACAAAAGAAAACATAAAAGATAATGTACCTCTGCCTGATTATGTAATAGTTTTCCTTACTCTCCATTTACATTATATGGCCATATGCATGATCTTTCTGGGCAAGAAAGTTAAGTATTCTTCATAAGGATATATTTATGGAAGAAACTTTCTCTATCTAATATATATCAACACTAAAATTTACAGCTTCATAAGAAGAAAATTTCGTTTTTGTTCTTGGTAAACAGGAATGGATGCATAATTATTAGAAGATACACTTCATTGAATTCATGATTTATGAATTTTAAATGGTTTATGACACTCTAAAAAGTATATAAAAGAAAAGCAACCCAATGGCACATAAGAATTATATCTCTGTGAGACTCAATATAGTAATAAATCAGCGTGGTTATTTCAGTAAGAGAAACCAAGTTAGCCTAAAGATGCGTCTACAATACCAATCAAGCTAAGAGAGAACAATCAATTAAACACTTTGAGCAACAAACAAAATATTTATGAAAAGGGAGAAAGTGCATCTCACAGGTCAAGCAATTGATATTACAAACAAACCATTACTGCAGAAAGATGAATATCTTCTCAAATGCAACCTCTAGGAGTTTTAAGCCTACCTCTTCCGCTAGCTCTCGCCTACATAAAAGTGGTTGGTAACTTTAGTAAAAAAGATATAAGAAGTAACAGGAATTCAGCATTAGAATATTGGAAGCGATGGATCACAACATGATATATGTCTGGCCAAGAATCGTTATCCTCGGATCAGAGTTGGAGAAGTAGTTTGTGAGAGACGTAAGATATAAAGGGTGAATCTGGTGGAATTAAATCGTTAAGTTGCCATTGGAGTTTTATAGTAATGAGGCTTTGATGAATTGAAGTGGTGGAGAAGCCGTTACGGCGGAGAATCAGAACATCGAACTTTGGAATAAGAAGAGCAAGAAACGTGTCGTGTTAGTACATATAAGAAACTTAATAGTTTTGATGGGCTTCCAACGCGGCTCAGAATAAATTGCATGGCCTGCTTTAGCTGCAAGTTGGGTTTGTTCGTGGGATTTAGAAGATGAGATTGTCTGACGTGGCAAAATTATAAAATATAACTAGTTGAATAAAAATGAATACGTGGACAACTTAAGAGTTGAGTATATTGGCCTTTCAATATTGTAAGATAATGAGAAACTTGTGTGGAATCTACCCGTGTGTGGGTTGTCGAAGAGAATATCAAATTAGAATTTGCTATTCTTTCAAGTTCTTACGACACACAAATATTATTCCATTAACATATATGAATATATGTTATTTACATATGAATTTACACTATTAGATTCAAAATAAAAATCCTAAGAAAGAGTGAGAGTTACATGATGTCGAAATTAGGCGTCGGAAATAGCCACTAAAAAACCAGACGTATTTACATTTGGAGGCAATATAGGTAAGCTGGTGGCAACGCTAGTAGGCCGGTCCGAAGACATGTTGATATTCGAGGTACATGAATCTGTAATGAAAAATAGGCTTGTTATGGTGCAGCACAATATAAATTTGTTTCTCGCAATTGTTGAATATGTTAGGAAAATACGTTGACAATCACATATATACATATTATTAATAGAAACTCAAATGAGACCAATTTATTTTTATGAAAAATCTGCTAAATATGAGAAGGAAAAACCACATAATCATTGTTCTCTCAACAATCTATTATATAAATGAGTATGAGTATAACCATGTCATCTCTATTTAACAACCCGAACAGATTCTGAAACTTATGATTCAAAACAACTCCAACATAAGATACAATAACAACAAGAGACCAATACAAGAGCTCAAAACTCAGAAGCAACAAACAACCTCAGCTCACTATAATTCCTGCAACTAGAGACTAATTCCACCGTACAAATTAAAGATGAAAAAGTTAAGAACACCTCTGCCAAAATCCCAAATCAATCAGAGAAGATCCCACCATCGAATTACCGAGCACTGAAAACATAACTGCAGAAAACTGTAATGACCATCTTCACTAAAACTATATAAAATGGCTAAATCATGGCTATTATAACCATGGTTTTAAATCGTGGCTACTATAACTTCGTGGATATCATAGCTACGATTTAGCCATGATTTTTCCATGGCCATATACAAAACCCTAATTATAATATCATAAATCTCATACTAAATCCTGTATATAAAGCCATAAACCTAAATAATAATTTATCCCAAATATTAAATATATGTTTCATACCATTACCTACTTTTTAAGAAATAACCTCCTTAAGAAATAATCGGAGAACCATCGTTAAGAAGAAAGATAGAAAAAGAAAGACACATGAACAATACCACCGTAAACAAAAACAAGGAATAACACATACAAACTACAACATTGTCAAAGCAAGCAAAACAACATAGACAAAGACGAGAGATAAATGCCAATTTTAGTGACAGTGGCGAATCCAAAAAGCAAAGGGAGTGACCAACGGATCTGGACCATGAAAGAGCATGAATTCCCTGACAAAGCCAAAAACACTAGAAAGTTTACCATCCAAACCAAATTTGGAAATTTAGATGAAAATCTGAAATTTCAAAAAACACATAGACAAAGAAACAAAAGAAAAAAAAAACAAAGAAAGCTAAATCCCAACATGCGAGATTGCTTTGAAAGCTCATGCCCATTAATCGAAAAAATCAAACATCTTAAAATGATAACTTTTAGAGAAATTAGTGAGGAAAATAAGAGAGGGAGAAGTTGGCACAAAAGTTATTAGCTTTCATATGACTAAATGATGTTTAAAAGAAACTAATATCAAGACATCTTTGGTTTCTGATTTACAAGAACTACATCCAAAACCTCTTAAGTGATTAACAAAAATGGCAGTCTTCATAAATCATAACAGCACCTCTCTTTTTTTTTTTTTGGGAAAATTGTTTTTTAAGACCAAAACAACTAGTACATTGTCATTGACTCCTTTTAGGCTAATCTCATTGTTTAGTTGTCTTATTTGGTTAAATACTTTCTAAAGGGCAATAATAACATTAAATTTAGTTTATTAATTCAAAATTTTAATTCTAAAATAAAATTATATATTTTAGATTTAATAAAAGAAATAATTCGAAATTAAAAAAATATTTTCAAATATTTTATTCCAAAATTTTATAAATTCAAATATTTTGTAAAAATATATATATATTTCCAAAAACATATTCCAAAATATTTTAAAAACTAAATCGAAATTAAAAAATATTTCCAAATTTCCAAATAAAGAAAAACTAATTTGAAATAAAACAATTCTCCCAAAAATATTTCCAAATATTAAAAAAACTAATTCAAAATGAATAAAATATTTCAAAATTTCCAAATTATACAAACTAAGTCGAAATAAAAAAAATCCCCCGAAAATTCCAAATATTTTAAAAAGTAATTCGAAATTATAAAAAATCCAAATATTTTCAAAAACCAATTCGATTTTTTAAAAAAAAATATTATTCGAAATATTTTGCAAAACTTTGAAATTCCAAATATTGTTTTTAAAATATTACATATTTCCAAATATTATTTTATTTAGAATATTTTATTAATTCAAACTTCTAATTAGAAAAAAATAATTATATATTTTTTGAAAAATCAATTTTTTATATATGGTAACTGAATATCTCCAAATATTTTATTCCCAAATTTTCACAACTTATTGTCCTTATCCGTAGAATATGTATTCTACTATATGTAGAATGCATTAAGAATGTTTGAAATCAATTTCTACTAGTTTTAGATTTATAATAATGTGTAGATTTTGATTTCTATATATTTTAGATTTATAGTAATTTTTAGATTCTGATTTCTACTGATTTTAGAGGGATAGATTAAGTGCGGAATGTGTATTCCAAATAGTTTTAGATTACTATTAGTTACGTAGAATATGTATTATGAACATAGTAGATTTTATTGAAAAAGTGGATTTCATATTCTACTTTGTAAAATATCCTGTAGAATACAATACGAAATTATGATTTAAACATTTTTTAAACTGAAAAATACCATTAAATTGATATAGGTATTTCATCATTAGTTATTATTGTTTGAATTTTTTTGTTCATAAAACTATTTATTTGATTAATTTTTGAAAATACTAAAGGTCATTAGAATAAAAAATAGTAAAAAATATAAATTAGCCTAAAACGACAATATCTTAATTTTTTTGGCCTAAATTTTTTTTTTGTCCACACATAACAACAACACCTCTCTCTTTTTTTTTTTTTGGTCAAAAATTTCTTTGACAAAAAACATGAAAGTGTTGTGGGCTTAAGAAATAAAGTGGGCTTTGTTTAATGGGCCTATGAAACAGAAATGGAAAACTAATAAATTGGTCATCATTACAGAACAAGTAGGCGATCTCTCATGAAATGTGTCGGAGTTCAGAAACTCATTTATTCAAAGAAGTCACAGAGAAGAGGAGAAGAAGAGAGTGAAAGCTGCTTCAGAGAATCATCCATCTCCATCTTCCTTCCATAGTCTTCCTCCTCCTCGAACTCCTCGTTGCTCTTCGTTCTCGGAAAATCTCCAGTCTCTAATTTAATTGCTTCTATAAAAACCCTAGTTAACCCAACCTTGTCTTTGAGGTTTAGAGATTGTCGGAGACGGCGGAGGATCTCCGCCGTGTAAATTAATTAGCTTGTGTAGGTCATCTCTTAGTTCACCATGAGTCCAATTCAGAATTTCGAGCAACACTCCCGTCGTCTCGTGGATCCTGACCTACGTAAGCCTCTCTCTCTCTCTCTATCTTAGATTCTCTAAAGATTCAGTCTTTTTCAAACTTTCCTCATCTGATTCATTTCCCTTTGGGGAAACAAATTGTTTTGTGTAGCCATCCAAACAAGGCTTGAGATGGTGGTGGAGGTCAGGGACAGTTTAGAGATAGCTCATACAGCTGAGTACTTAAACTTCTTGAAATGCTACTTCCCTGCCTTCTCAGCCATCCTTCTTGATATCACAAAACCTCAGCTCATTGACAACCCTGAGCACAAGCTACGCAACATCGTCGTCGAGATTCTTAACCGTCTTCCCCACAGTGAGGTTCTTCGTCCCTTTGTTCAAGACCTCCTGAAAGTCGCAATGCAGGTGCTCACCACTGATAACGAGGAGAACGGGTTGATTTGCATCCGCATTATCTTCGACCTTCTTAGGAACTTTAGGCCAACGCTAGAGAACGAGGTTCAGCCTTTCCTGGACTTTGTCTGCAAGATCTACCAGGTTTTCAGATTCACTGTTAGTCATTTCTTTGATAACGTTAAGATGGAAGAGGTGAAGCCTGTGGAGACGTCTACTTCTTCTGATCAGTCCCTTACCCCTATTGCACCTGTTGGGAATGGGCAGCTTAACCCGAGTACACGGTCGTTCAAGATTATCACTGAGAGCCCTCTTGTTGTTATGTTCCTTTTCCAGCTCTATAGCAGACTTGTTCAGACCAATATTCCTCATTTGCTTCCCTTGATGGTTGCTGCTATATCCGTCCCTGGACCTGAGAATGTTCCTTCTCATTTGAAGCCTCAGTTCATAGAGTTGAAGGGTGCACAGGTTAAGGTGAGACAATGGTTCTGTGTCAGGGAGGAATACAAACCTTTTTGCGATGTTGAATTAAAATATAAATAGTTTTGGGGCCGTGGCATTGTTATACTGACTTTCTTTTTGGGGTTTATTTGCAGACGGTTTCCTTTTTGACATATTTGTTAAAAAGTTGCGCTGAGTATATCCGCCCCCATGAAGAAAGCATATGTAAGAGCATTGTAAATTTGCTTGTGACCTGTTCAGATTCTGCATCTATCAGAAAGGTGGAATTTTTTTTGTTCCTTTCTCTTCATTTTTATAAAAATTCTGAGTGGCACCATCAATGCATTTCGGTTAATTTTTATTTTGTTTTCGTTACTTGGTATGCAGGAACTTTTAGTCTCATTAAAGCATGTACTTGGGACGGATTTTAAGAGAGGTCTATTTCCTCTTATCGACACTCTTTTAGATGAGAGGTATGTAGGTTAAGAAGCATCTCAGAAATTCAAAAAGATCTTTATTTTTCAAGGAGGTGTATTGTTTGATAAGCACACCTTTTGTTTCTCCATATAACTATGAAGCTGATTTTTTTTTTTCCTTGTCTTCTGTGTCAGGGTTCTTGTTGGAACTGGGCGAGCTTGTTTTGAGTCTTTAAGGCCTTTGGCTTACAGCCTACTCGCGGAAATCGTTCATCACGTTCGCGGAGATCTGTCTCTTTCTCAGGTTATTATCGATGAAGAGCTTTAAATTTTGTTATCTTGACATCCTATTGATTCCACCATAAGAAGAACTAGGTCGTTACAATACGCAGTTATTGCTCTCTGTATGGAAAATCTTATGAGTGTAACATTGATTAGTCTTTCTTTCCGTTTGCAACGTTTTTTGTCATTCTTAGTAAGTGTGCTATCCTTTACATTCCTCTGAATTTACTATAATCAACGTTGCAGTTATCGCGGATTATTTACCTATTTTCAAGAAACATGCACGACTCTACCCTCTCTCTTAGTATCCATACCACATGTGCCCGGCTGATGCTAAATCTGGTAACTATGTTTTCCCCGTCGTGCGTGTCTTGTTTAATTGATATGCGTACTAGTTTTCTTACGTTTCTGAACTTTGCATAACTTAATACTTGTGTTGTGTTCAGGTAGAACCAATATTCGAGAAAGGTGTTGATCAGCAGTCAATGGATGAAGCACGGATTTTACTGGTAAACATTCACTGTGACTACAATATAGAATTGGTCGGCTTCTCTAACCATTAACTAAACTCGCAACATTGTATATAGGGACGTATCCTGGATGCCTTTGTTGGGAAATTCAGTACCTTCAAGCGAACTATTCCTCAGGTAATCCTATTCTTGAGCTAATTCTCTTCTCGAATGTATAATTTCCTTGAATTGTTTACATATTCTTGCTTTCTGATACTNACAATATAGAATTGGTCGGCTTCTCTAACCATTAACTAAACTCGCAACATTGTATATAGGGACGTATCCTGGATGCCTTTGTTGGGAAATTCAGTACCTTCAAGCGAACTATTCCTCAGGTAATCCTATTCTTGAGCTAATTCTCTTCTCGAATGTATAATTTCCTTGAATTGTTTACATATTCTTGCTTTCTGATACTTAGCTTTTGGAGGAGGGTGAGGTGGGAAAGGATCGGGTCACTCTGAGGGCTAAACTTGAACTTCCTGTCCAGGTAATTTGTGTCTTTTTTTTAGATTTCATTCCATAAAACATCATGCCTTCTGATTGATAGGGTTGAATATTTTGTTTTAATCAACAATTGGATTATCTAGCAGCTTTTATTAATTCCTAGTCCACACTGGTTGCAGGCAGTTTTGAATTTGCAGGTTCCTGTAGAACATTCAAAAGAAGTAAATGATTGTAAAAATCTGATCAAGACACTGGTCATGGGTACTGAATCTTAGAAAAGTTATCTTCTTACATAGATTATGATTCTGTACTTGAAGATTAATATGTTTTTTCCCTGGTTTGTGTTCAGGAATGAAAACAATAATATGGAGTATAACACATGCTCATTTACCTCGACCTCAGGTTTGTGCTCATTTGTCTCTAGTACTCAGTGTTGCTGTTTCGTCATGCAAGTATATTAATTTAAGGCATCTTATACTTCCCAGGGTTTGAACCCTCAAGCTCTTGCCTCACAAGCGTCTGCTCCTCAGGGTTTTAAAGGAATGAGAGAAGATGAGGTATTGCTTGTGAGATTGTTTGCTCTAGTCAATAGTCATTAATAGTGCATTGCTGATAAACTTCTAATGATTTCTCCCTATATGCAGGTGTGGAAAGCCTCTGGTGTTTTAAGGAGTGGTGTCCACTGCTTAGCTCTTTTTAAAGAAAAGGATGAGGAGAAGGAAATGCTTAGTCTTTTCTCCCAGATTCTTGCTATTATGGAACCTCGAGATCTGATGGACATGTTCTCTTTATGCATGCCGGAGCTTTTTGAGAGCATGATTAACAATAATCAGCTGGTTCAGATATTTGCAGCACTTCTGCAAGCTCCCAAAGTCTACAAGTCATTTGCAGATGTTTTGATTAATTTACTAGTAAGCAGCAAACTTGATGTCTTGAAGAATCCAGATTCAGATGCAACTAAACTAGTTTTGCATCTATTTAGATGCATCTTTGGGGCTGTTACCAAAGCACCATTGGATTTTGAAAGAATATTACAGCACCACGTCCCTGTTATTATGGAAGTCTGCATGAAGAATGCTACCGAGGTTGAAAAGCCTCTTGGCTATATGCAATTGCTCCGCACAGTGTTCAGAGGTCTCGCTGGGTGTAAATATGAGCTGCTTCTGAGAGATTTGATACCAATGCTGCTACCTTGTCTTAATATGCTGCTAACAATGCTCGAGGGCCCAGCTGGGGAGGACATGAAAGATCTTTTGTTAGAGCTTTGTTTGACGCTTCCTGCACGCTTAAGCTCATTATTGCCGTACCTTCCCCGTCTCATGAAGCCTCTTGTATCTTGCTTGCGGGGAAGCGATGAACTTGTGAGCTTGGGGTTACGCACCCTTGAATTCTGGGTGGATAGTCTGAATCCTGATTTTCTGGAACCTAGCATGGCAAATGTGATGTCTGAAGTGATCTTAGCATTATGGTCCCATTTGAGGCCTGTGCCATATCCTTGGGGTGGAAAAGCGTTGCAAATTCTTGGAAAGTTGGGTGGTCGTAACCGAAGATTTTTAAAAGAGCCACTTACACTTGAATGCAAAGATAATCCTGAGCATGGTCTCCGCGTAGTTCTTACATTTGAGCCATCCACGCCTTTTCTAGTGCCGTTAGATAAATTCATTAATCTTGCTGTAGGAGCGGTTATTCACAGGAACCAAGGCATAGACATTTACTACAGAAAGCAAGCTCTAAAATTCCTCCGTGTATGCCTATTGTCTCAGCTTAATTTGCCTGGCTGTGTCACTGATGTGGGCCAAACGCCCAGGCAATTATCAACTCTGTTACGTTCCTCTGTTGATTCATCTTGGCACAGGAGCGAATCAGTGGAAATGAAGGTTAGTTTTAATCTTAATCCATCATAATTTTGCTCTGTTCTTTGCTGGGCAAATATAGAGTTTTCTTATAATACCTGTTTCACTTGAAGAAGGATTTCTTTTATTAAATGCGATGTCTTCTTACTGTCGCAGGCTGACTTAGGAGTAAAAACAAAGACCCAGTTAATGGCTGAGAAGTCAATCTTCAAGACACTCTTGATCACCATACTTGCTGCCAGTTCTGATCCGGATCTTAGAGATCCGGATGATGACTTTGTTGTAAACATTTGCCGCCATTTTGCGATTATCTTGCATATCGATTATACCTCCACAAATGCATCAACTAGCACTGGTTCACTTGGGGGCTCTGTGATTTCGGCGAGTTCAAGGACCAAGAGTAATCGATCATCTAACTTAAAGCAGTTAGATCCTTTGATATTTTTAGACGCGCTGGTCGATGTGCTTGCAGACGAAAATAGGCTCCACGCCAAAGCAGCTCTTAATGCGTTAAATGTCTTTTCTGAAACACTTTTGTTCCTTGCTCGTGTCAAACATGCTGATGTACTGATGGCTAGGGGTGGTCACAATGCTTCCATGATTGTCTCCAGCCCTTCTACAAATCCAGTATATTCACCACATCCAAGTGTGCGAATACCAGTGTTTGAACAACTTTTGCCCCGGCTTTTGCATGGATGCTACGGGAGCACGTGGCAAGCACAGATGGGAGGGGTTATGGGGTTAGGTGCACTGGTGGGGAAAGTGAATGTCGAAACATTATGTCATTTCCAAGTAAAGATTGTGCGTGGTCTGGTTTATGTGCTAAAGAGGCTTCCTGTTTATGCTAGCAAAGAGCAAGAAGAGACAAGTCAGGTTCTTATGCAGATTCTACGAGTGGTTAATAATGTTGACGAAGCAAACAGTGAAGCACGTAGAAAAAGCTTTCAAGATGTGGTAGAATATCTTGCTACAGAGCTGTTCAATCCTAACGCATCCATCCCTGTGAGGAAAAATGTACAGAACTGCCTTGCACTTTTGGCCAGCCGAACTGGAAGTGAGGTAACTGAGTTGCTTGAGCCTTTGTACCAAGTATTGCTGCAGCCACTTATAATGCGTCCACTCCGATCAAAGACAGTTGATCAACAGGTGCCACACACTGCTATGTTTCTTTTGTGCATACATTTCGGCATTGTCTTCCTCTTTAATTTTTAACTTATTTAATTTACTTTACAGGTTGGAACGGTTGCAGCTCTGAATTTTTGCTTGGCACTGAGGCCTCCCCTTCTTAAAGTGACTCCAGAGTTGGTTAATTTTCTGCAAGAAGCATTACAAATAGCCGAGGCTGATGAAACTGTCTGGACAGTGAAGTTGATGAATCCTAAAGTGCTTACATCATTGAACAGGCTTCGAACAGCTTGTATCGAGCTTCTGTGCACAACTATGGCATGGACTGATTTCCGAACGCAAACTCACAATGAACTACGTGCCAAGATAATTTCTATGTTTTTCAAGTCTCTAACGTGTAGAGCACCAGAAATAGTGGCGGTTGCTAAGGAGGGTTTAAGACAGGTTCGTAGTTGTCGTTTATCGTAAACAGGATTCTTGCACGCATATTGAATTTGAATTTGAGGAGCCTACTCAGCTGAGTTATATGATAGGAGTCTATTTCTTTATGTATCTTTGTCAGTTTGTTCTATTTAATATAATTATTTGCCTTTTCTCAAAATCTATTTTCTGATTTAGGTTATTAATCAACAACGAATGCCCAAGGAACTTCTTCAGAGTAGCCTCAGGCCGATACTAGTTAATTTGGCACACACAAAGAATCTCAGTATGCCTTTACTGCAAGGTCTAGCACGCCTGCTTGAACTTCTGTCAAATTGGTTTAATGTGACATTAGGAGGAAAGTTGTTAGAGCACCTGAAGAAATGGTTGGAGCCGGAGAAACTTGCTCAGTCCCAAAAATCATGGAAAGCTGGAGAAGAGCCAAAAATAGCAGCTGGTAATTTTTCTTTTGAAAATTTATTAAGCGACTTCTGGTTGTATGATTTATTCACCTGAACACACCTCTTTTATTTCCGTGGCAGCCATTATTGAGCTCTTTCACTTACTTCCACATGCTGCCTCGAAATTTCTAGATGAACTTGTAACCTTAACGATTGACTTAGAAGCAGCTCTTCCTCATGGGCAAGTGTACAGTGAGATTAATAGCCCATACCGTCTACCGCTTACTAAGTTCTTGAATCGATATGCAAGCCTCGCTGTTGATTATTTTCTTTCTAGATTGAGTCAACCAAAATATTTCCGAAGGTGAGGCCAATGTCTTATGATAAATTTCTTAGTTCACTGCATCCAGTTATAGGTTAAGCGTGCGCTTGGAGTACACCTGTCATAAATATGCTAACGATGGCTGCGTGTTTCTATTTTTAAAAACTCAGGTTTATGTATATAATACGATCAGATGCTGGCCAACCGTTAAGAGAAGAACTAGCAAAGTCTCCACAGAAGATACTTTCATATGCCTTTCCTGATATTTTGCCAAAACCTGATGCTACAATGAGCATGGCAGCTTCAACTCCTCCAGCTAAATCATGTGGAGATGAGAATCTTGTCTCTGTTAAATCAGAGAGTTCTAACACGGCACAGACAAAGGCTAATGCAGCATCGGATGCGTATTTTCAGGGTCTTTACCTCATCAAAACAATGGTTAAACTGATACCCAGCTGGCTGCAGAGTAACCGCAGTGTTTTTGATACCTTGGTTCTCATTTGGAAATCGCCTTCAAGGATATCTCGCTTGCAGAATGAGCAAGAACTGAACTTAGTTCAGGTTATTTCTTCCATCTCGGCTGCATATATCTGAATAATCTTCATTTCGAGTCATGTAAGATATTTGAATAGTTGGAATCTGAAGTCGTTTGCATTCTCAATTTCACAGGTGAAAGAGAGCAAATGGCTTGTTAAGTGCTTCTTGAATTACCTACGGCATGAAAAATCTGAAGTGAATGTTCTCTTCGACATTCTCTCGATTTTCTTGTTTCATAGCCGCATTGACTACACCTTTTTGAAGGAATTCTACATTATTGAGGTATCTGAGAGTTTCAAACTTACTAACATCTTCTTTCTCTTTGCATTAATTCACAAACTTTTCAGCTCTAGTATAATAACTGGGATCTATTCAATCAGGTTGCAGAAGGTTATCCGCCTAACATAAAAAGGGCACTTCTCCTGCATTTTCTTGACCTTTTCCATTCCAAACAACTCGGCCATGATCATTTAGTTCAGGCGATGCAAATGCTTATTCTTCCAATGCTTTCCCATGCTTTCCAAAACGGCCAAACATGGGAGGTCATTGACCCTGATATAGTCAAAACCATTGTGGAGAGGCTTCTTGATCCACCCGAAGAGGTCGATTCCTTTTCTTTCTAAACAACTTGCATTGTGGGGAAGGCTACTGTATAATTATCATGCTGGTTATTATATATCTTTACAGTTTTGTTTTTGGGTAACCCTGTGCAGATGTTTTTCTTATTTTTATCCGCTCGTTCAGGATTATCAGAATCATATTATTGTTTTATTGTTAACCTCCCCTTGGTTGTTGTAGGTTTCGGCTGAATATGATGAACCTTTGAGGATCGAACTTTTGCAATTAGCAACTTTTCTTCTAAAATATCTTCAGAGTGACTTGGTTCATCATAGAAAAGAGCTCATTAAGTTTGGATGGAATCATCTCAAACGGGAAGATAGTGCCAGTAAACAGTGGGCATTTGTAAATGTTTGCCACTTCTTGGATGCTTACCAGGCTCCCGAGAAAATTATTCTTCAGGTACCGCATAAATCTGCTGCGCCATTATGTTACTATTTTCTTATTGATTTTGTTTTTGAGGAATGATATAATCATATAGAAGAATCTCAGTGAACTTCAGATATTAGCCTATTTCTGTTGGTACAACTCTCTAGATTATGTGATAACCTTTGTATATGACTAAGACGGTCAATTTTTAGCTTAAGCTACATCTGAATGCATATTTGTCTTAGTAATTCATGTATGTCTTCAAAATGCATGTTTTGTTAGATTTCATGGTACTATGATATGCATATGTGTAGTTTTCCAAAGTGATACTCTTCCCTGAATCCAAGTAAGCTGAAGAGACACCTAAACAAGGCATGCCTGCAAAACACCTTAGTCTAAATTTTTAACTGATACTAATGTAATTTGTCAATTTGATGTAGGTTTTTGTGGCGCTTCTTAGGACATGCCAGCCGGAGAATAAGATGCTTGTTAAGCAAGCCCTGGATATTCTAATGCCAGCTTTACCTAAAAGGCTACCTCTGGGGGATTCACGCATGCCAATTTGGATAAGATACACCAAAAAAATATTGGTGGAGGAAGGTCATTCAATTCCAAATTTGATCCACATCTTCCTGCTTGTTGTTCGGCATTCAGATCTCTTTTACAGCTGTAGAGCACAATTTGTCCCTCAGATGGTGAATTCTTTGAGTCGTCTGGGTTTGCCGTATAATACTACTGCGGAGAATAGGCGGCTGGCAATTGAACTTGCTGGATTGGTTGTCAGCTGGGAAAGGCAAAGACAGAATGAAATGAAAATGGTCACTGATACCGATGGAACGAGTCATGCCACTGATGAATTGCATACGTCATCTGGTGTTGATCCTAAGCGTTCAACAGAATCTGCCACATCAGAGGATCCAAGTAAGCGAGTTAAAATTGAACCTGGTCTCCAGTCAATTTGTGTTATGTCACCTGGTGGTGCATCATCAATCCCCAACGTAGAAACTCCTGGGTCTGCTACTCAGCCTGATGAGGAGTTCAAGCCAAATGCTGCCATGGAAGAAATGATCATTAATTTTCTCATAAGAGTAAGGCTTAATGCTCGTACCTTCCTTTGAACATATATTTACTTTGGTCATGTTTCCAATTCTCTCAGCCATGTCACCTCACGTCTAAGAGCGTACTTGCATAATTTTACTCTAGTAAATTCATTTCGTTGGTAGTGTTTTATATCAGACATGAGTTCTAGTTATGTTTCTCTAGTTTTGAAATATCTCGCTTTCTTCAACAGGTTGCATTGGTAATTGAGCCGAAGGACAGAGAAACCAACACTATGTACAAACAGGCATTAGATCTGCTTTCGGAAGCTTTGGAGGTTTGGCCAAATGCTAACGTCAAGTTCAACTATTTAGAAAAATTGCTGAGCAGCATGCCACCGTCTCAGTCAGATCCGTCAACAGCACTTGCTCAGGGATTAGATGTCATGAACAAAGTTCTGGAGAAGCAGCCGCATCTTTTCATTAGGAACAACATCAACCAGATTTCGGCGGTATACTTTCTGCAATTAGCTTTTATTCTAATATTCGAGACAGAAATGCCCTTTGCTTACTTCCCACAAGATTGACTGTTTGTTTCTTCACCAGATTCTTGAACCGTGTTTCAAACACAAGATGCTGGATGCTGGTAAATCTTTATGCTCCTTGTTGAAGATGGTCTTCACCGCATTTCCACTGGATGCAGCTAATACACCTCCTGACATAAAGCAATTGTACCAGAAAGTGAATGAGCTGATAAACAAACATGTCACTGCTGTTACCGCTCCACAGGCTTCAGGAGATGATACCTCTTTTGGTTCAATTAGCTTTGTACTTCTCGTCATTAAAACCTTGGCCAAGGTACATAAAAACTTTGTTGATTCCTATGTGGTGGTACGTATCCTTCAACGCCTTGCGCGAGACCTGGGATCAGCAGTGGGTTCCCATCCTAGACAAGTATGTTATTCTTACTTAATAACTTGTTTTTCTGCTAAGGGATCATTAGTGCTTGCTTTCAGTTTTCTGGAATTTTAAATGGAATTTGAATCTCCTATGCATTTTTTTAGCTTTGCACCAATTACTTCAAATTAATGTCTGGAGACCGGTGCCTCTTATTCTTCACCTTGCTTGTCGAATTTCTTTGCTTTATGTATATATATTTTATATGCTGGCTTTTTCAGATATCCTTTCTATCCATTTTACTAACTCGTTTAATTTACCTATTTTTCCGTCTGACTAATGGATAGTGACTAGAGAACCTAGTCATTTTCAAATCATGGCTTACTCTGGGACTTTTTCTTTTTATTTCCAGGGTCCGCGAGCAGATTCAGATTCTGCAGTAACTTCTTCTCGTCAAAGTGCTGATGTTGGATCAGTCATATGTAATATAAAGTCGGTCTTGGAACTTATTGATGAAACGGTCATGCTTATACCAGATTGCAAAAGATCTGTGACTCAAATACTAAACACCTTACTTTCTGAAAAGGGTACTGATGCTAGTGTGCTACTCTGCATACTAGACATGCTAAAAAGGTGGGTGGAGGATGATTTCAGCAAAACAAGTGCATCTGGAATGTCTGGTTCTTTCCTTACCCAAAAGGATGTAGTTGCTTTTCTCAGTAAGCTTTCATATATTGATAAGCAACACTTCTCATCTGATGCTTTGGAAGAGTGGGATCAGAAGTATCTCCAGCTACTATATGGACTTTGTGCTGATTCAACAAAGTATGTTTACGGCTTTACAATTTTTTCTTTCCTTACGTCATTGTTTTTATGAGAGGGATAATGTTATCTGATCTAATTGTTGATTAGGTACCCACTGTCCCTACGACAAGAGGTCTCTCTGAAAGTTGAAAGACATTTCATGCTGGGTTTACGGGCAAGGGATCCTGAGTTGAGAAGGAAGTTCTTCATCTTATATCACGAGTCTCTTGGGAAAAATTTGTTCTCACGGTTGCAGTACATTATTCAAATCCAGGATTGGGAAGCTTTAAGTGATGTTTTTTGGCTCAAACAAGGTCTTGATCTCCTTCTAGCTATATTAGTCGAGGACAAGGCAATTAGTCTGGCGCCAAATTCGGCCAGGGTAACACCGCTTCTGCCTTCTGATAATTCTGGAATACAACACCAACCTCTGGCTACCTTGGAGGGTCCTGACGAAGTTACTTCAATGTTTGACAACATTGTTATGAAGCATGCCCAATTTCTGAGCGCGGCAAGCAAACTCCAGGTGATTATGAATCATTTGAAGTTCCCTTTGTGTTATTATGGTGCTTTCTTCTTTGTTCTGCTTGATGTAAAATGTTTTACTTAATTAGAATTACCATGGTGTTTTTGTCCACCTGATCAATTTGTGATAATCTGAAGAATACATCCATTCATATCCTAAAGTTCTCAACTATTTTTGAATCGTCACTGTAGGTGGCTGATGTTGTCATCCCTTTAAGGGAGCTGGCGCACACGGATGCCAATGTTGCATATCATCTGTGGGTTTTGGTGTTTCCAATTGTATGGGTAACCCTTCTCAAGGAAGAACAAGTAGCTTTGGCTAAGCCTATGATATCTCTCCTGTCAAAGGACTACCATAAGAAGCAGCAAGGACACCGGCCAAATGTTGTGCAAGCACTTCTGGAAGGGCTTCAGTTGAGCCACCCTCAACCTAGGATGCCTAGTGAGCTTATCAAATATATAGGAAAAACGTACAATGCATGGCATCTCGCATTGGCGTTGCTAGAGAGCCATGTGATGTTGTTCACGAATGACTCAAAATGTGCTGAGTCTCTTGCTGAGCTTTATCGTTTGTTAAATGAAGAAGATATGAGATTTGGGTTGTGGAAGAAGAGGTCCATCACTGCTGAAACAAGAGCTGGACTCTCATTAGTTCAGCATGGTTTTTGGCAGCATTCTCAGAGCCTCTTTTATCAGGCAATGGTTAAGGCAACCCAGGGCACTTATAATAACACAGTCCCTAAAGCTGAAATGTGTCTGTGGGAGGAGCAGTGGCTTCACTGCGCCACACAGCTTGGTCAATGGGATGCCATGGTAGATTTTGGAAAAAGCATTGAGAATTATGAAATATTGCTTGATGGTCTTTGGAAACTACCAGATTGGGCATATTTGAAGGACCACGTAATACCAAAGGCGCAAGTGGAAGAGACTCCAAAGCTTCGCCTCGTTCAAGCTTATTTTGCCCTTCATGACAGAAACTCAAATGGTGTCGGAGATGCTGAGAACATAGTTGGGAAAGGCGTTGATCTTGCCTTGGAACAGTGGTGGCAGTTGCCTGAAATGTCTGTTCATGCTAGAGTGCCATTACTACAGCAATTCCAGCAACTAGTTGAGGTTCAGGAGTCTGCTAGAATTCATGTTGACATCGCAAATGGGAACAAAGTTTCAGGAAACGCTGCTGTTGGTGCACTGGGAAATCGTTATGCAGATCTGAAGGATATTCTCGAGACTTGGAGGCTGAGGACTCCAAATGAATGGGACAATATGACAGTCTGGTATGATATGCTGCAGTGGAGGAATGAAATGTATAATGTCGTTATTGAGGCGTTTAAGGACTTTGCTGCTTCAAATTCTCCACTTCATCACCTAGGGTTCCGTGACAAAGCATGGAACGTCAATAAGCTTGCCAGGATAGCTCGGAAACAAGGGCTTTATGATGTTTGTGTGCAGATACTTGAAAAAATGTATGGACACTCGACAATGGAAGTACAGGTACATCTCTCCAAAGTCTTTAATCTTTCCAGAATTTTAGGCAGAGGTGAATTATATAGAAGACCTGCATCTTTTGATTTTTTTTTTCCTTTTTCGGTGTCATATTTGCCACTTTGTTTAGTAGCTTGATTCATTTGTCTTACTTATGTTCTTGTTTGAGCTTGAAAGACAGTTATTAATAAAACTATCTTCCTTATTTCTTTTCTGGGTGTGTGAGTGCAGGAAGCCTTTGTTAAAATTAGAGAGCAAGCAAAAGCTTATCTGGAAATGAAGGGAGAGCTTGCTAGTGGTCTTAATCTGATCAATAGCACAAATTTGGAGTATTTTCCAGATAAAATCAAAGCAGAGATCGTTCGTCTGAAAGGGGATTTTCATCTAAAATTAAATGACACTGAAGGTGCTAATATCGCATATTCTAATGCAATCACCCTGTTCAAGAACTTACCCAAGGGATGGATAAGCTGGGGAAATTACTGTGACATGGTATTTTCTATGATTGTGTTGTGTTGCTTATTTGCTCTTAACATTCCCTTTATGTTTTGTATGCCTTGGTACTTATATGATACTGTCCTTTGTAGGCCTACCAAGAAACACAAGAAGAAATCTGGCTTGAATATGCTGTCAATTGCTTTCTTCAGGGTATAAAATTTGGAGTTTCCAACTCCAGAAGTCATATAGCTCGTGTTCTTTATCTTCTTAGCTTCGATACAGCGAATGAGCCTGTTGGCAGGGTGTTTGATAAACACTTAGAACAAGTTCCTCACTGGGTGTGGCTTTCTTGGATCCCACAGCTGTTACTTTCCCTACAAAGAACTGAAGCACCCCATTGCAAACTAGTCTTATTGAAAATTGCGACAGTCTTCCCACAGGTAATTTACCTTTTAGCTTTTTATGACTAAATCGTGCATTTTGATTATTTTATCTGAGTATGTAGGGATTTTTTGTTTCAGGCTCTCTATTACTGGTTGCGCACATACTTACTGGAGCGACGTGATGCGGTAAATAAGTCTGAACTTGGCAGGTTGGTTTTGGCTCAAAGAATGCAGCAAAACGCTTCTGGCGTAGCGGGTCATGGTGGAGGCAATTTACCATCGGAAACTCATCAAAGCGCTCAAATTAGTGGAGCCGGTGGAACCCATAACAGTGGTAACACACATGGCCAAGAAAGTGAACGCTCCACAGCAGAAAATAATACCCATCCCGGGAATGATCAATCTATGCACCAAAGCAGCTCTACTATTAATGAAAACACAGCGAGACAGAATGGTGCTTCCTTAGCAATGTCTGCGGCTGGTGCTTTTGACGCTGCCAAGGATATCATGGAAGCTCTTAGGAGTAAACATAACAACTTAGCCAGTGAACTCGAGGTGATACGTTTGTTAAAAATACATACAATTTGTATATTATAGATAACTGCTTCAGTCAGATTCTGACTCAACTGTTATGTGTCCTGCCTCTTTGGTTTGGATGAACGTTTTCAGGTTCTTCTCACGGAAATAGGTTCGAGATTTGTTACATTACCAGAAGAAAGATTGCTGGCTGTTGTGAATGCTCTGTTGCATCGCTGTTACAAGTATCCAACTGCAACCACTGCTGAGGTTCCCCAACCGCTCAAAAAGGAACTGTCGGGTGTCTGCAGAGCTTGTTTCTCGGCAGATGCTGTGACCAAGCATGTCGAATTTGTGAAAGAGTACAAGCAGGAGTTTGAGCATCACCTTGATCCAGAAAGTACAAGTACATTCCCGGCCACACTTGCTGAGCTTACAACGCGACTGAAGAAATGGAAAAACATTCTCCAGAGCAATGTTGAAGACAGGTTTCCGGCTGTGTTGAGATTGGAAGATGAAAGCAGGGTATTGCGTGACTTCAATGTTGTTGACGTGGAGATACCAGGGCAGTACTTTGCTGATCAGGTAGANATCCAGAAAGTACAAGTACATTCCCGGCCACACTTGCTGAGCTTACAACGCGACTGAAGAAATGGAAAAACATTCTCCAGAGCAATGTTGAAGACAGGTTTCCGGCTGTGTTGAGATTGGAAGATGAAAGCAGGGTATTGCGTGACTTCAATGTTGTTGACGTGGAGATACCAGGGCAGTACTTTGCTGATCAGGTAGAGAATTAAGTCTGTAATATTTAACTTAGTCTTTAAATATAAATTTTTCCTCTTTTAACCTGCTCATGCGCTCAACTATTTCAGGAAGTAGCACCTGATCATACAGTAAAGCTGGATAGGGTTGGAGCAGATGTACCTATTGTTCGAAGGCATGGAAGCAGCTTCAGGCGGTTGACTCTTATTGGCTCAGATGGCTCCCAGAAGCATTTTATAGTCCAGACTTCATTGACTCCTAATGCCCGAAGTGATGAACGGATTTTGCAGCTTTTCCGTGTGATGAACCAAATGTTTGATAAGCATAAGGAATCAAGAAGACGACACATTGGAATTCACACTCCAATCATCATTCCTGTCTGGTCTCAGGTGATTTTCAATACCTTAAATCATAGTTGATGCGTGGTGGTTTATTTTACAAGATTCCCTCAAATCTCGACATAGAAGATGTTAAAACAACATATATTTGGTTTCAGGTCCGGATGGTTGAGGATGATCTCATGTACAACACTTTCCTTGAGGTGTATGAGAATCACTGTGCACGGAATGACCGAGAGGCAGATCTTCCGATTAGCCACTTCAAGGAACAACTCAATCAAGCAATATCAGGGCAAGTGTCAGCAGAGGCAATTGGAGATCTTCGTTTCCAGGCTTACAGTGAAATCACAAAAACCTTGGTCAATGACAGTATATTCTCTCAGTACATGTACAAGACACTGATGAGCGGAAGCCATATGTGGGCTTTCAAGAAGCAGTTTGCAGTCCAGCTAGCTGTCTCTAGTTTCATGTCGTTCATGCTTCAAATTGGTGGGAGGTCCCCGAACAAGGTCTTGTTTGCAAAAAACACCGGGAAAATGTTCCAGACAGATTTTCATCCTGCCTATGACGCCAATGGGATGATCGAGTTTAATGAACCAGTGCCTTTCCGACTCACAAGGAACATGCAAGCGTTCTTCTCTCAGTTTGGAGTCGAAGGTCTTCTCATGTCATCCATGTGTTCAGCAGCTCAAGCAGTTATCTCCTCTAAGGTAACCAAAAAAATATACAAAAGCTAATGGATTCAACAACAAGCCATTAACTGATCTTTAAACTCTAATTCTTTTTTTTTTCTTACAATTTTTCAGCAAAACGATCATCTTCGGTATCAACTAGCTATGTTCTTCCGTGATGAATTGCTGTCGTGGTTTGGAAGAAGACCTCTTGGTATGCCGATTCCTCCCGTTGGAGGGATTGCTACATTGAACTCAGCCGAGCTGAAGGACAAAGTTAACTCCAACGTGAACGATGTCATTGGCCGGATCAGAGGAATAGCCCCACAGTACTTTTCCGAAGAGGTACATGCATGATCACCATCATTTATTTATCATCATGATTATATAAGAGGAAACATTTTGATCGATTTTTTGTTTTGCAGGATGAGAACATTGTGGAGCCGCCACAGTCGGTGCAAAGGGGAGTGAACGAGTTGGTGGAGGCAGCCTTGTCGCCTCGCAACTTATGTATGATGGATCCAACATGGCATCCTTGGTTCTAACTCGAAATACTTTAGAAGCTTTTTGTTTGTTGTTGTTTTTTTTTTTTAATAAAAAGATGGAAGGTACTATTCATTAGGTTTGTAAATAATTGTATAACTTTGTGTATGTTATTTATCACTACTTTTGGTTAATGTTTAGTTACATTTTCTGTACTATATAAAATGTTACTTTTGGATTCTTTTAAATAAAATGTTACTTTTGGATTCTTTTAAACGTGTCGATCAAAAACCCGATTGATCGATTTTGGATGTGTATATTTTACTCTTATTTGGATTTTATTCATTCAGTCCCCATATATAATCTGATCGGATGTCCGAAATACTTAACTTTGGGTTTTTGTTGATTTTTCGGTTTCTAGGCTCTTGCAGCGACACTTGATGAAGAAGAGTTGGCTTTTTTCCATCTTAGAAACCAGTGTGATGCCATTGATGTTGATAAGAATTGCACCATTAGCCTTGACGGGATGAGGCAAGGTAAAATTGGTAACAGAAAACTAAACTCAATCACTAGCAAAATGTGATACACATCATGCACTAGTCTATATGTAACGTTAATTAATGGTTAAATATTGCAAAAGAATGCACGAGTCGCAGAGATTCTTCAAGCGGTATGTATCTAATTTAAGCTAGTGAATGATGATTAGATTTTTTAACCTAAACTAAGCTAGAGAAATGGCAACAGAGATTAAGAGCAGGATTTGAGAAAGTTGACATAGACAGAGGTGGATATATAACGTTGATAAACAGTGTTTTTGCCAATTTTTAACATTTGTTTTGAGTTTTCTTTTATGGAGTCTTTTCATATTTTAGGTCTAGTCAGAGTTGAAGATGTCGAATTGGATGTAAAGGATTAAATAAAATTCCAGAATTGTAGATATGTGTCAGAAGTTTACCTATTAGATGCAGAACTTCGCACGATTTCATTGAATTCAAATTTAGACAAAAGATAGAAAATTGAGTTATATCTTCAATTTCACTGGTCTTAGGTCAATCCAACGATTAAATTGAAAGTTATGCACATCTAACTGAAGACTAGTTTGTTTGTCGGTTCAACACGTGAATAAATCTACCGGTCCAATACATGTGAAAAAAGCAAATTTTTGCTTTTTTCTTATTTTATGCAACCCAGATTTTAACCGTGACAAAACCAAACCTATATCTACTATTTTCAATCATTGTTTAGACCAAATCTTTTTTTTTTCATCAGACTTATTGGTTTTGGAAATTTGGGTACACAAATTCATACTTTTGGAGAAGATTTTTGAACTCAATTTTTTTTTAATCCAATATTCTATATTTATCATCTTCATGTGTTTCTATTGTCATGGTTGAGTAGTTAAGTGTTAACGATAAAGCTATCATTAAAATTGATTCGTCGTTCTTTACAAACACCATATCGTTAGTTCACTTACAAAAGATTTTGATTAAGAACAATCTTTCCCAAGATGAACCAAGAATTACAAATCCAGAATATCCCAAGGTTTACAGAGAAGATTACAATCAATTTCCGAATGAATTGAAAAGAATCAACAACAATCTGTTTTATTCGTTGCAGAAGATGAACTGGTCCGTTGAGATTATAACACGTGTACTCATCTCAACGGTCTTCACTTCAGTAACAAACTCTAACGGCCACTCCTTCCTTATGTCTCCTCTCGACACGTGTATTTCTTCTCTTTATTAATCCCTGTAATAAACCTTCCCTCCTCCGACAACCTTGACCACAAGGTTAGAACTCAAACAGAGGATACATCTGCTTCATATCGAACAAGTACTCCCACGTCGCCTCCTCTGCAGTTTGATTTGTCCACTGAACTAACACCATAGTCGCCGCTTGCCCTTGCCTCTGAACCATCTTGCGAGCCAAGTAAAACTCCGGTTCCTTGATCATTACGTCATTCAACACCGTTGGTAACTGATTAGCCGCCAATGCTATACCCACAAAACGTTTGAGTTGTGACACATGAAAAACCGGATGGACCTGAGATGAAGCTGGTAACTGCAGTTTATAAGCCACCGACCCCATCTTATCAATGATCTTGGCCCATAGTACTTAGGTGAAATTTTCTGTGAGCTCCTCTGCACCCACGATTGTTGCCTATAGGGTTGTAGCTTCACAAACACCCAATCTCCCAACTTAAAAATCCTCTCACTACGGTGAGTATCAGCAAGCTGTTTCATCCTGTGTTGAGCTCTCATCAAATGAAACGTCAAGATCAGTATCATATCTTCTCGCTCCTGCAAACTTTTAGCTACCACCTGCACCTTAGACTCTCCAGGCAAATAAGGAAGATGCACTGGAGGAGTTTGACCATACACCACTTCGTAAGGTGTAGTGTTAGTTGCAGAGTGATAACTAGTATTGTACCAATACTCAACTAATGGTAACCAACGACTCCAGAGTTGTGGCTTATCACTTGTCATACAACGAAGATACATCTCCAGACACCGGTTGACTACTTCAGTCTGACCGTCACTTTGTGGATGGTAAGCTGTAGAGAGATTCAACGTACAACCCTGCAACTTGAAGAATTCTTGCCAAAATTCACTGACAAAGATAGCATCTTTGTCACTAACAATAGACCGAGGAATCCCATGTAGTTTGAACACATTATCCAAGAAAGCTTGTGCCACCGGTGCTGCTGTGTACGGATGCTTCAAAGCAATGAAATGAGCTGCCTTGCTAAGCCGGTCCACCACCACCATTATAACTGTTTTACCACATGACATTCGCAAGCCATCGATAAAATCCATAGACACATCCACCCACACTCTCTCAGATATCGGTAACGGTTGTAACAGACCTGGTGATGCAGCAGTATCATACTTGCATTGCTGACAGATGGTACAAACTCGTAAGAAAACCTGTACGTCCTTAGCCAATCCTTTTCAGTAAAAAGACCTTTAACACGCTGAACTGTAACGTCTCGACCCGAATGACCAGCGTGACTAGACCCATGTAACCATTGCAGAATTGTGTCCTTCAGATGAGTATGAGAAGGTACAACAATCTTGCTCTTCCTCCTCAAAATATCATGAGGCTAAGAGTAGTGTTTCTTACCTTTAGGATTCGCAACCAAATCTGTAATAATACCCTTCAAAGCTGCATCTGTTTCATAACCCGCTTGTATTTGTTTCAGTAAATCACATTTCACTACTGTCATAGCCATGTGCAAAATCTCAGCCCCATCTACTCTTGATAAAGCATCATCCACTACGTTATCTTTTCCCTCCTTATACTGTATCTCATAGTCAAACTCAAGAAGTTTCGGTAACCACTGTTGCTGTATTGGCGTGTTAAGCCTCTGCTCCAAAAGGTACTTCAAACTCTTCTGATCCGTCTAAATGACAAAATGATTTGTCAATAAGTAATGTCTCCACCGTTGTACTGCAAACACCACTGCAAGTAACTCTTTCTCATATATTGATAAACTCAATCGCTTACCCTTCAAGTTCCTACTGATGAAAGCCAAAGGGTGGCCTTCTTGCATTAGGACAGCACCTATCCCTTGACTACAGGCGTCCGTCTCCACAACAAAGGGTTTATCAAACTATGGAAGAGCTAACACTGGTGCAGAACATAAAGCCTTCTTCAACTGATTTAAAGCTTGTTGCGCCTCCTCTGTCCAGTGAAAAGCATATTTCTTAGTTAGAGCCGTCAACGGTCTTGCAATGATTCCAAAGTCCTTCACAAAACGTCTGTAATATCCTGCCAAACTCAAAAATCCCCTCAACTTCTTCAAATTAGTTGGAGTTGGCCACTCTGTTACTGCCTTGATCTTGTCAGGATCAGTAGATACTCAGAGGCTTGGATAAAATGACCAAGAAACTCCACTCTAGATGTTGCAAAGGCACACTTACTTCGCTTAGCATACATCTGATTTACTCTCATCACTTCAAAAACTTTTCGTAAGTGCTTCAGATGATCGTCAAGACAAGAGTTGTATATCAAGATATCATCAAAGAAAATAAGCACAAACTTCCTTAGGTACTCCTTAAACAAGTCATTCATCCATCCTTGGAATGTTGCAGGTGCATTGGTTAAGCCAAATGGCATTACCAAATATTCATAATGCCCACTATGTGTTTTAAAGGCAGTCTTGTGCACATCACTCTCTTCCATTCTCAACTGGTGGTAGCCTGCCCTGAAGTCGATCTTATAATAGATTGAAGATCCTCCCAATTCATCCATCAAATCATCAATGAGAGGAATAGGGAATCTATCTTTGACAGTCGAATTGTTCAATCGCCTATAATCAACGCAAAGTCTCCAAGTACTATCTTTCTTTTTCACCAACACTACTGGAGATGCATAAGGACTTGAACTAGGTTGTACTGTCCCTGCCTGCAACAATTCATTCACCATCTTATCCACTTCGTTCTTCTGATATACAACATACCTATAAGGCCTCTGATTTACCGGTTCTGATCCTTCTTTCAAGACTATATTGTGGTTGTGATTTGGTCGAAATGGAGGTAGACCGGTAGGTTCCTTAAAGATATCTGCAAATTCCTCAGTCAACTTCTCAATTCCCCATTAATTTCCCTGTTTTATTATCTGCTTCCATAACACTCAGTCACAAAGGCTCTTCATCAGACGCATCATACGCATAAATCATATGCAATTGCATATCAGAGTCTGTAATCTGATGCCTCTTTTTGTACTTGACTTCTCTCACAGAACCATGACGTATTCCTGTAAGCAATACCTTCTGATTACCCCATTTAAACCTCATCTCCAGCTTATCAAAGTCCCAAGTAATAGGCCCCAACTGAGCTAGCCATTGAACTCCCAAAACCATATCATAACCTCCCAGTGGAATGACCATGAAATCAGAAAGAAATTGTTGGCCTGCAAACTCTCAACAGAAAGCTTCAAGCATACCAGTGACTGCAATCTTATTACCATCAGCCACTGCAACACGTGTTCTCTCCACTTCTTTCATCTTGCATCCCAACAACGTAGCAACTTTAGGATCAATGAAGTTGTGAGTTGAGCCGGAGTCAATCAACACATATATCGATTTCTTTCCATGGTATCCCTTCACTTTCATCGTTGTGTAATATGTAATTCCTGAGATAGCATTTATGGAAATCCTCGCCTGTTCCACTACTTGATAAGGTTCCTCAGTCTCCACATAATCGAAAGCCTCATGAAATTCTTCCTCCTCTTCACACTCCATCGAGAACAATTGAGTTTTCTTGTGTTTTAAGTAATGATCAGGTGTAAAAATTTCATCACAGTAATAGCACAATCCTTTTGCTCTCCTCTCACTCATCTCTGCTTGAGATAGAAATGGTCTTATCTTACCATTACCCTCCTTTGCTGTTTGAGTTTCATCTTTGTTCTTAACAGTCAATATACCACGTTGAGAAACAGACTGGCTCTGTGTCTTATTACCCGTCCAATTCCCCTTATTATCTCTACGAGGATGAGATTTTTCATACAACCTTCCCAACACCAAACA